TTCACCTCTAGATGTAGCAAAGATGAATGGCCAGCCCCTCACTGGGTTTACAGTGGCTTGGAAACAGTCTACCACCAAGCTAGGTAAAGCAGTGCCGCAAAAGGGACAGACTGCTGTCTGGGGTCCACCCAGAAAGGTGATTTATTGACTACTTACTTTTTAGAAAGTGCCATCCTGTCCTTTGGGAGACAGGAAAGAAGCTACCAAAGAGCAGAGTAAAGTAAAGAACATTATGTCTTTAAAAAAATGTCGCAACCTTTTAAAGATGTGGAGTGTGTGTGTGTGTACCATATGTATGTTTGTATGTATATACGTGTGTATGTGTGTGTGTGTGCTGTAAAGTGGTCATGCCAAATTATGACCTAATAACAGCCCAATGAACTGATGAGAAGTTAGGGAATGGAAAGAGGCAAGGAAGGCTATAGAATTTTACAGATGAGGGGATATCTAAGGTAAGTCTTAAGCGACGGTTCAAGAATTGTGTGGGAGGAGAAAAGAAGGAATGACAGGTGACTTGGTAACAGAACGTGCATAGTCAGACATGCAAGATATGAACACATGGTGTATAACAGGCTGTGTGGCTAAACGGAAGACAGTAAAGTTGAAAGAAGCTGGGCATAGTAGTGCAAGCATGCATAGCACAGGAGTTATGGGACCATAGAGGCTTGCACCAGAGTCTAGACAAAACCTTGAAAGGTTAGAAAATGTATACCAGGAGAAGCCCCACAGAGAGGCCAATGTTGGAGACGCAAAGAACGTGAGAAGTTGCAGGCACTGAGTGGAGCTAGGCCAAGACAGAAACCTGGGTGCTTCAAGCACACAGGATGTAGAGGTGGGGCTACCCAAGCCTATTGGAATCCACGTGATGCCACCATAACCCAGACACTAGTGTAGAGATGCAGCACTTGGTATTTGCCCTGCTGGGGTTTGGCAGTATTTGGTCTGATCTTTGCTCTTTTTGTTTTGTTTTGTTTTGTTTTGTTTTGTTTTGTTTTGTTTTACCCCCACCCCATCCCATATCTTGAGAATGGGGAAGTTTGCTTGGTGCCATTGAGTTTTGATTTGTTCCATGGGCTTATAGTTAAAGGGTCAATGCGAATCTCAGATAAGACCGTTGCTCTTTTTACCATGGTATTCTTAAATTGGAGGGCATTTTGGGGTTGTTTGGAAGCATTTTGCATTCTGAAGTGATCATGAGCCTGTGGGGGCAAGGGATGGAATGCTATGGTTTGAATGCAAAATGTTCCCCAGTCTCATTTATCTGGACACTTTTGGGGAGGTTTGGGGACTGTCAGAAGACAAGCCACCGGTGACTCACTGCAGGTAAGGGGAAGCATTGGGTAGAATTAGAAACCTTCAAGTCCTGAGTGAGAAGGTTCAGAGGCGCTATGGAGAAATGGCTGCTGCGTTCTCTGTGTCTCTAAACACAAGGGTGATTCTTGTTCTTCTGGTTTTGTTTGTTTGGTTTTTTCTTTTCTTTTTGGTTTTTTTTTTTCATTTACTCCTCAGGAAACAGAGCAAGGGCTCAGAGTAGTTGACCTGTCGATTTTTAGAGGTCAAAGTTGCCTGCTTTCAAAATACTCTGAAGCCCAGATCTCTTGTTAGTCCTTTTTTTTTCTTACAATGGAATAGAGAATTATTCAAGTAATCTTCATGCACTTAGACATCAGAACCTGACTTTGTAGTGTGTTCCATAGAGAATTCCAGCTTCCACACCATATAATCTACTCTCGTTCCCCACCTCTTGTCTCCTCCAAGAGAGATGATGGCTGGATTCTATAAATCACCGTCTTCAAAAACCGTATTAATAAAAAATGTGCTATCCTCACAGAGAAGGTTTTTTTCTTTTCAAGGTACATTCTGTAGCTTGGGGAACTGTGACAAATTCTGAATTAATTTGGCTGAAACGATACATCTCTGGACTTGCAATAAATGAGATTTTCCCCTGCTGTGGATAGCTGCTGTGTGTGTGACTCATGACTTTGAGTCCCTAAAGGAAATGGTTGGAAATGGTCTCTGGTGAGTCATTCAGTATTTAGACAGTATGTTCCCCAGGACATGCAGGTAAGTGCCAGGTAAGCAGTGAGTTCTAACTTTCAGTATAATTCCCCAAGAGGAGGCAGAAACAGAGTCTGAGAGAAAAGAGCAAAAGAGAGATAAGAGAGACAGAGACAGGATCGGGAAAAATAAGAGAGGCATAGAAGAGATTCTTGATGCTCTGTCAATACCCGAAGTACAGACTTCTCTGAGGGCTCATGCGAATGCATAGACATCTATTCCTCATAAGAACCCACATGGTACATAGTCCCAGGCATACTAAATAGAAAAAGTGTGGTCTCTGGTCTCAAGCGATTCTTGGTTTAATCACAGTTCATATCAAAATCAGTTGCAATGCAAAGGAAACTTTCCTAACAGTTACATGAGGCAAGGGGAACAGACGGGACACTAGCCAGTGACGTTCAGGAGAAGTCAGGAAGAGTTTTACAGGGGCAATGCCTCTAGAGCCAAGGCCTGTGTATTGACAAGTGTTTGTAGAGCTATGTGAGATGAAGCACTACAGTCAAAGGGAGCAATGGTAGCGAAGAGGAACTGTGTGAGGAAAGGGTACAGTAGAAGTGTTTCACTGGGGTTTCAATGCAGGTCATACACAGAAGATGGTGCTCCTCGGGAGACAGTTAAACTCCAAGTGGGTAGAGAGAAGCCTTTTTCTTGTCTGCCGTTTTGGTTTTTCACCAGCAGTCGCCTGGGTTCTGCCAGGTTGTAGTCCCCATTAAGACGCTGTATTAATTATGAAGCTGTTGGCCGTTTGCTTGATTTCTTACTGGCTATCTCTGACATAAGTATTTACCCCATAATTGTTATTCTAAGTGTTTTTCTTACTGGAGAAAAGTTCCGAACTTCTTACCCCTATGCGGCTACATGGTGACTCCCTGTGTTTCTCCTACCCAGAATCCTCCTGGACTCCTAGTCCCACCTATCTTGCTTCCCTATTGGCCAACAGTGCTTTATTGACATATACACAGGACTACCCTATCACAAGTGTAAATGACTTTATAAGGGATTAAAGAGTCAGGGTTATACTTACAATTTGTGGGTAACACAGGAGTTTTGTATGGTTTTAAATGAGAGTAAAACATAATTGTTTGCATTTTCAAAGAGATGGCACACTCCAGGGAAAGAATTACACATGGATTGCCAGAAGCTAAATTGGTGTGTGTGTGAGAGAGATGGCTCAGTGGGTAAAGCCATCAGCAGCTGTTAAACCTGAGGATTGAACGAAGTTTTAGCCCCAGGACCTACATGGTTGAAGGAGAGAACGAATGGCCCCAAGCTGTCCTCTGACCTCCAGGGGTCAGAGGTAAAGGTTCTTTGAAAGACTGCAGCATTTCTGATCTAGGGGGTAGGCAGTCATGGGTTTGGAGTGAAGGAGCACACCTCTTAAACTCATCAGAAAAGGCTTCAACAGACTATGCCAGGGTTCATCAGTAGGTGTCCTCTCTACATGTGCCGTCCTTGAGGCATTCTTTTCACTTGTGCCCACCCCACCCCACACATCAGCCTCACAGTCTTCCTGATCCCTCTGTCCCCCACTGGCTGCTGTCTCCTTTGCCTTTTCCTACACACTAAATGTTGGAGGATCCCTGGTCCCAGTGGTAGCCCTTTCTCTTCCTTCACTTTTCCTCTTTGGAGCATCTCATTCAATCCCATGGGTTGTGAATTCTCTGAAGAGAAGGTCTCTGAAGGGAGAGACCTTCAGAGGTCTCTGAAGTCGATTCCCAGCTCCTTCCTTTCTTCTTGGTTCTACTCCTGTTTCCAGCGTTGTCATCAGCTTCCCCAAACTTGACCTTTCCACAGAAAACTCTGCTTCCTCCCATGGGGTCATTCCTTCCCTAGTTCTTTGCATCTCACTAAGTGACACTACTGCCCACCCAGCTGCTCAGAGAAATAAGCCAACTAGAAATGTCAGATGTCTAAGAAGATTCTCCCAAGTCAGCGGGAGCTCAGCCACTGGAACTGCAAATGGTACTACTTTCCTGTGATACTATTTGTTAGAAAAAAAATTGGATGTTTTTTAAAAAATACTTTTGGAATTATATTTTCATTATTTTTCCTTTCCCCTCTTCCCTCCAAACCGTCCCACCTAACTACCTTGATCTCATTCATTGCTTCTTTGTCTTTCATTGATTTTTACATATATACAGAGGAATTTTTTAAACGGCATGCTCTAGTATTTCCCTGAAATGTCTTCTTTCAAGGTTCTAATTAACACTTACCTAATGACTGCCCACCACAAAATCTAAGATTTCTTCTAGCAGTTGTCAATCAGTAGTTTATACTAAGGCTATGGATTCTGCTTATGTTGGTATTTCAATAAATATTAGTAAAAGACTGGTTCTAAGATTATTCAAGAACCACAGTCTTATTTAGTAGAAGAAATAGCTTCTCTCCTTTCCACACAATATTGTTCCCAATCAACTTCTGTTCTCCCAAAGTTTGCCTCTCCACTGTCTTCCCATTAACCTCGCAGGCACAAGCAAAGCCTTATCATGGCGCTCAGCTTGTGACCTGGTGATGCCACGTTGTTCAGTTCACAGCTGGCTGAAGAATCAGTCCCACTCAGGTTCATTTGTAGCTCCAGCACCAGAGTGACCTGAGAAAGTTAATCTCTAAAACAAGTTCTGTCATCTGAAAGTAAAATCAAAATCACAGTGCTGTTACGCAGGGTGCATAAGGTTACTGTTCTCAAAAATGCCTAGCAGCTAGCCAACACATAGCAGAGGTGGTGGTTCTGTTGAACTGGGATGGTTTCCTGTCTCTTTGTGATTTGGGATTCTCAGCCCAGCTAACAAACCAGAGGTGGATTCATTGCAGTTGATCTTTAGAGAACATCTTATCCTGGAACATTTGTACTGAAAAATGGCCCAACACCAACTCTCAAAGATTCTGTGATTTGCTTCCGAGAGAAAAAGCCAGGCATGACTCAGGAATTAATGTGAATGTGTTGGTAATGAAGTTGCTTCCAATCTGAGAATGAATTCACACAGGAAATGGAAAGTTGAGCAAGCATCCTATCAATTTGGAGGCATACACAGCTCTCAAGATATTAAAAACAATGCGTGTGCTGTTTGCTCTTTTTGTCTCCATCCTTGCTGGAGAGTGGGGACAGCACATGCTTCACGGCAGAGCATTCCTGTTCTTGTCAGATCGTGGGGAGCACTTCATAGTGAGGAATGGGCAGGCATTTCTGAAGGAGACTGAAGTCACTTGAACGTGGGGAGCACTTCACAGTGAATAAAATGGAGCAGGCATTTCTGAGGGAGATTGAAGTTACTTGTTAGACAGCTATGGGACAAATGTCAAAACACAAAACAGCCCCTGGTTCACAATTATGAGTGATTTCAACCTCTCTCTCTCTCTCTCTCTCTCTCTCTCTCTCTCTCTCTCTCTCTCTCTCACACACACATGTATGCAACCTAACAAACACACGCACAGTCATTTTTCTGACTGGGATGTCCAAACCAGACCATACTTATTTTGTTTCTTAGTTCTCTCAACCATATCAGGCCCAAGAAAATTCATTGGCAATTCTAGGCAACCCATCAAGAGACACTGTTCACTATTCCACTCTTCCCCAAGATAAGTCTCTAGAGCTCTGGAGGCTGGACGGAATGACATTACACGTGATATAACTTATCCCCTTGATTCAAAGAAAAAATGGAAGCCCTTCCTAGGGGTAGAAGTGCTAGAACCAGTGAGCCATTTGGAAACTTGCCTTCACTTCTATTTGTTTTTAAGTCATCTTACGTATGGGGCTTGCAGAGTTCTATGTGGAAGTTGGATGCTAAAGTACAAACAGTAGATTCTGCAGACCTTCAAATGTTGCAGACCAGCTCCCCACAGCTGCTCTGGATAGGGGATGGGGAGACCAATGATACTGAAAACACCAGGACCTACATGGTTGAGGAAAGAACCAACTTCTGTGACATGTCCTCTACTCTCCACGTGCATGCTGAGCGTATGTACACCCACACGTACACACATGCAAAATAGATAAGCGTGATGAGAAAAGGGGCAAGAAACCCTTTGAGGAGCTGTTGCATTTCTGAACTATTTGGGTGGATAGCTATGGGTTTTGGGTACAGCAGAGTAAGAAACATGACTACAAATATCTGAATCCTTTAAGGGAAAACCCAGGATGTCACTTCCTTTCTACCCAGAGTTGAAAAGTACGAGAACTACTGATTTGTGAAAATTCACAATGACAGTTGAAATAACATTTGTGGAGAGACATGGCATTCCCCAGTTGTCATGACAACCCTGTCTCCTCTTTCAACTGGCATGTTCATTCAGGTGTTGCAACAAATTTAGGGTTTGACATGCAAGCTGACAGGAAGGCTCTGAGATCAAGGAAGATCTACCTGTTCTATAGATTAAGATGGGATGCAAATGAGGAAAAGATGCTCAAACATAATGGAAGTATTCACCCAGGCAGTGGTTTCCATGGAGATCCTAGTTCCAAGCCAGCAGTGTCAAAAACAAGGACGTACTCATCGAGAACAGACAGAGGAGGGGATTTCTGCAATGCACGTGTGAACTGGGCATGAGTGTCTGGCTATTTTTCTGTGGTTTGTTCGCCCAATTTTCACTGTTGCCCAAATAATTTTCTGTTTTTTTCCACTCAGAGGTAAGATTAGACTTAGTAATGAGTTTTAAGTAGAAAGGAAATGCAAAGGACTTCTATACGGATCTTCATTTTCCAGAAGCTGAATGCGCTCAGGAGACACATAGTTGGAGTCACTGTACCCATTGGAGCCAGAACCCAGCCTGATGTTCCCATGGAACTCTCATGCTGGCTGCATCTTCCCATGAGTGCTCCAAATACTTGAACAGAAGCTGCTAGAGAAAAGACTCCCAAGGCCTCCCTAAGAATGAGCGATCTTCACCGAGACAAAAGGTTCCCTCCCTTGTGAGCCACTAGAAAAACTAAGCTTGTATATACATGACAAGTTTTCCTAATTTCCAATGTGAGCTTAGGTCCCCTCCAGGCATAGACACAGACAGACAAATATGCAGCATAATGAATTAAACAAGACCCAAATGAAAAATGTTTCACCACAAAATATCTATTACCAAGCATTGATCTTCATTCAAGTCCTAGGGTGTGAATAATCTCTAACCAATATAAAGAAGTAGTTACTATTTAAAAATCTCACATGTTCTTTTTGTAAATCTTCAGCTAATTAGCCAGGTCCCTTACACTTACTAACGAAGAAGGGAAAATAATACTAGCTGCCTGTCATCTCCTCTCACTTGGAAGATTTTCTACTTAAAACATTACTCTAGGCAACATTTAGTTAAATTGGTAGATAAAAGAACTTTAGTGGTCGGGCGGTGGGTGGTGCACACCTTTAATCCCAGCATTCAGGAGGCAGAGGCAGGCAGATCTCTGCGAGTTCGAGACCAGCCTCATCTTCAAGAGCTAGTTGCAGGACAGCCTCAACAGGACACCATAGCTATCTATAACTTAGGACAAGGCTCTATGGAGACTATTTTTGTTATAGCTAGGATTTGAGCACACACATTAAACAGAAAAGGAATGACTGCACACATAGTAAAACTGGGGAAGAGAAAGGAAATAAAAGGGAAGGAAGACAGGGCACTTGTTATAGGAAAGGGTGTAGATATGGAAAGCCCTTCACACATGGCAGAGAGTATTTGAAACTGGGGACGTTGCTGAGCATCAATACCTTCAGTCCTTGCAGGAGGCAGGGGCATCTCCTGATGGTTTCATTCTTGGTAAGGCAGAGGCCCTTTCCCAAACACAACCTAAAAGTCCAATCAATCTCCCCATCTCCCTGCAGCTACAGTGCAAGGATGTATCTTGGACTTAGCTCATTGGATGCTCACACCCAGGATTCAGTATTTAAAACCATAATATGCCAGTTGGCTCTCTGGGAAAAACAGAACTGGACTGTTGGTTATTTCTACAGTGTAAGTAACTTCTATTGTGCCTGATTTCAAGTTACAAACTCTTTAACATCTAGCTTTCAAAATTCCTGAATGTTTAACAGTTGTCTCACAAAAAATACTCAAGGTTCTGTGTTTCCTGGAGATTCCTAGATGCAGATGAAAGTCCTGTGGGATCAGTCTCTACTACAGCAGATTCATCTCCACAAACCAAGACCACCTCTATGCCTGGCACAGACAGCAAGGCCCTCATTTCTGACTCTGGAGCCTGGATTGCACAAGGAACATTATTTTGAGTTTCACAATTTTTAAGTAAAGCACATCAAGTTTTAAAGTGTCAGACCCAAGTAACCACTGTTCTCCAGAGCATTGCTTCTAAAGCTGTGACCGCAGTCTACAGGGTCCATGTCTGAATGTGGGAGTCACAGGAAATATGGCTGAGTTTCCCAGCACACATTCAAATGAAACAAGCCAGCACAACATGTATGAATTTATCAAAGAATAGTTTAAAGTATTTTTAAAGATTATTATATTTTAAAAATTGCTCTTTGAGCCGGGCAGTGGTGGCGCACACTTTTGATTCCAGCACTCGGGAGGCAGAGGCAGGAGGATCCCTCTGTGAGTTCAAGACCAGCTCGGTCTACAAGAGCTAGTTGCAGGACAGGATCCAAAGCCACAGAGAAACCCTGTCTCAGAAAAAAAAATGCTGTTTGAGTTTTGACTTGAGTTTCATTAAAAAAAATCCTTCAAAGAATTTTGGCTTGGGATTAGGACACAGTATCTAACGGTTTCTGAGATGGCCCTAAATATGCCATTTTGTATTTATGTGAAGTGGGTTTTCTCAGTAGTGACAATTATAAAATCAAAATATTGGTCAAGTCCAAAAAGTGTTAATATGTAGCTTCAAATATTCAACCAAGATTTAATTCCTACCTAAAAACAAACATGAGCATCCATCTCATTAGCATGCAAATTTGTTTTAAACAGAAATAAATGTTAAGATTATATGCATAACAAATAATTATTTTAAAATGAAGTTATGTATAGTTTATTAACAGTAATGTTTTTGGGTCATGAGCCTAGCCTTTAACGGCTGAGCTATCCCTCTAGCCCTGTCAGCAATGTTTTTTTTTTTTACATCTAGTTTATATATGCATATACCCATGGTAATGTAAGAGTTTCTCATGGAAGCGTCAAGAACACTGGCTGCCATTCCAGAGGATTCATGTTCAATTCTCAGCACCCACATGGAAGCTTGCAGCCATCTGTAACTCCAGTTTCAGGGGATCTAAGACCTTTCATGGCCTGGGAATCAGGCATGCGGTGCACAGACATGCGTGCAGGCAAGAACCCATACATGGTTCTTTTTTTAAAAGATTCTCTGGAGCACAGGTACAAGTAGAAAAATTTTAAGAAGCCCTGTGCTACAGTCAACAGAGTAGAATCTGAGATACCCTTTTGTAAGGAGTCGATTTCTTTTTTCAGTCTATCTCTGAGGGAATTCGTCTTCTTTAATAGCCACGATCTATAACCTTTAAGTTATAACTCAAAGAAAGATAGAATTCCCTGGTGTGGGTGGACAGGGAAAAAGACAAGACAGCATTGGCAATGCTCTGAAATAAACTTCCCTCCTCAACATCTCCTGCACAGGTCTGGCCCTGAAGTAAACTTCCCTCCTCAACATCTCCTGCACAGGTCTGGCCCTGAAGTAAACTTCCCTCCTCAACATCTCCTGCACAGGTCTGGTCCTTGCTAACTTTAGTGTTCTGCACAGTGAAATTGGCACTTGTTTCCCTCAGCACAACAAAGATTGTGGCTGAAATAGGAAAACAGGGATAGTTTAAGAAATATGACCCAGCATGCAAAGCAAAAGACTCTGGCTCTGCTTTGCTCTCTGTGTCGGTCTAAGTGATTAGTTGCAGACAACAGAATTCATCCATTAAGCTGACATGAAATACACTCACTTAGGAATATTAGAAACCTCACAGAATCACTCAACATCCTAGAAGAGTAGTGTTTCATAAATCACCGATTAGAGTTCCTAGTGCCAGTCCACAGGCCTGGCTGGTAATGATACAGCTGTGGTTATCACTCAAGAATCACCCCACCTTTGCTGTGACCAAGAGCATACCTCCAGCACTTTCAATCCCAGAAACACCTCATGTTGGCCACTCCCAACCTGCAACCAGTTTGCCTCCATGTTCTGCCAGTCTCTTGGATAATTTGCTTCCAAATCACAGCCCCACAAATTTGGCCAGAAAAAGCTGATGGACATATCTGCATCCTGGAAGGCAAGGAAGGTTGTGAATTGTAATTACCCTAGGGATGTTCTCAGTGAATGGAAAAAATAGTAAAACATGAAAGAGGTATCCAAAACACACAAGAAGGGTCACTCATTATCACAGGCACTTATTTCCCAAACCATTCGAGAAGAATAGTTTTGTAGACAAATTACCTGTATTTCTCACTCTCCTGTAAGGACAGTTTTGTAAGTACATCAGTTGTTCCCCCATATACACACGCACACCCCTAATTTTAAGATAAAGAAATCAGGTGAGAAACAGATGGCAAAGAATTTTTCTCTGATCTTTAACATTTTAATGTTGACTCTTACTTCTGAATAGTATCCAGCATCTTCCTGAGAATGAGTATAGCATTCATGGCCTTCAGAGAACTCATCCTCTATGCACGGTGATGGTAAAGTGGGGTGAACATACCTCCTTTATGTCCAAAGCATGACAATATTCATTCCAGGGATGGCTTCTTCCTTCTTTCGTTTCTGGGCACATGGGGGAAACTACAGTTTCAGGATCCCTTGCAGCTAGATGCGGACTGAGTTCTAGTCAATGGAACACATAAATAATGCACCGACTTTCTCAGCTGAACCTAAAGGACCTGTGTTTTCCTTACATTTTCTTCCTTCTATCTGATAGGTACAGAGGGCTAAGGAAATAGCACAGACATAGACAGAAGAAGACTGGGTCCATGAAACACCACATAGAAACATACTTGCCACCCACTGTGGTGGTTTGAATAAGGATGGGCCCTGATAGGTTCATATATTTGAATGCTTAGTCACCAGGGAGTGGCAGTGTTTGAAAGGATTAGAAGAACTGGAGGTGTGACCTTGTTGTAAGAAGTGTGTCATGGCAGGTGGGTTTTGACATTTTCAAATGCCCATAACAGCCTACACATTCTCCTCTCCCCATCCCCCCTCAATCTACTTATCAGGATGCAGTTCTCAGCTACTGCTCCAGCACCATGTCTGCCTGCATGCCACCACACTCCCTGCCATGATGATAATGGATTAAACCTCTGAAACTGCAAGCCAGTCCCTAGTCAAATGCTTTCTTTCATAAGAGTTGCCTTGGTCATGGTGTCTCTTTGCAGCAATAGAACAGTGACTAAAATGCTCATAAACACCGACTTAGACTCTAATCTGAACAACTGATTAATTCACTTTGGAGCCACCGTTAATTTTGGACATCTATTCTTTAACTTAATAGACTCCTACTGATACATTTAAATCACAACTTGGACTGACCAAGTGGGTTGTTTCTTTCATAAAGCATACATAAGTACTTGGTTGCTCCTGGGCTGTACCAAGTTCTATCTCCAATGCACTTCTATCTCCAAATACTTTTCATCTGTGTGACAGGGGCACAGAGGTCAAGACGACGGTTTGTTGGCATTCATGGATGAGATAGTTCACCCACATCCAACTCAGCTAGATGCTATGCCACCTTTCAACTGACTCACAAGAGTGTTCCCTTGGTCACATTAGAGAAAAGCTCGATGGAATATTGCAAAAGCCATTACAACTTTTGAGACCATTACCTGAAGCTCTTGAGCTATTGTCAGTGGCATCATTTTTTGCCTGCCACAGGCGGCTGTCATTTTCCTATAATTATATAATCATTCTCTAGCCATCTCAGCCAGTAAGTAGCAAAATACAGAAAAAATACCTGGGAAATGTACATTACAGTTCTCACTGTACTTATGGAAGATGACTGAACTATTTCCCCCTTTGAAGCTGCATTAGCTTAGTCAGTCTAATGGCATTTTATTCAGCCTTAAAGGAGTCAGTGTCCTGAGTAGGCTCAAGTAGTCTTTCCCAGAAGACTTAATGTACCTCAAAAAGTGAACAAAAGTTACTCTGTTTTATCAAGAGAAAAGATATTTTAAGAAATAATTTTTAACTTCTGTAAATGGAAGAAACAAAAACCATTAGCAATAGATATGCTACTGTTCGTCACACCTGTGTGAATCTGAGACTAAATAGTAAAGATGGCCGAACATAGTCTACTTCATTTGCAGACATGTAAACATACGTGTGTCTCTTTCTATCCATGTCTGTGTCTATCTACATATATGTATGTGGTTGTATAGTTAGTTCTCATAGTTCATGGCTGTGTGCATTACCTTTGTGCTGTAACCATGACTGCAATTAGAGGAAATGTGTGTGACCTGGTAGGTTCTGCTTGCTTTGTTTTTGTTGTGGTGATGGCTATTTTTGGTTGTCTATTTGTTTTGAGACAGGTTTTTGCTAGGTAGCCCTGTCTGGTTAACACTTGCTATATAGAACAGATGGTTCTCAAACTTTTGGCAATCCTCCTGCCCCTGCCTCCTAAGTACTAGGATAATAGGCATGAGCCACCAAGTCTGGCTTACTTACCTTTCCCGAAAGCAACATATAGATACAGATGACAGATAGATAGATGATAGAGATAGATATGAGATTAAATAGATAGATACATACATAGATACATAGACAGACAGACAGACAGACAGACAGACAGATAGATAGATAGATATACAGACAGAGAGACAGGGAGACAAACAGACAGATTCAGCAGGATAAAATGAGGCCATCAAGATGACTTAGTAGGGAAGATACTTCCTGCACAGCTGCACTAGCCAGGCTCCTAAGTTTGATCCCTGGAACCCGTGTAAAGGTGGAAAGAGAGAACCAACTCCACCAAGCTGACCTCTGATATTCAGATGTTCCCCATGGCACATGTGCCTCCACAGCTAAATATAATAAAGTCCTTTTAAAGACAAGGTATATTAACTTGCCTGAGGACGCTGCGCCGACAGGTACTACAGTTGAAATTAAATCCTGGTTGATTCGGCCTCAGAGCTACTACATATTCTTGCAGCACTCTACCCCAGCCCTTCTGAACTCCATCATCTAGGGATTTCTTAATGGGAGCTGTTGCTGTGCTGGCCTCACCCGGAAATGTGCGCATCCAGAACATCTTATTCCACCTGTGTTTCTGTAGCAGAGGATCACAGATTGGGTAATTTAGAGACAATAGTCATTTATTTGAATCATGGCTCTGGAGGCTTGGAAGTGCAAACAAGTTGATGGCTTGCTTGCTGCAATGGAATGCACCACATGGAGGAGGAAGAGAGAAGGGGAAGGGAGGCAAAGAGGTTGACGGGGTAGAAGGGGAGATGGGTGCTGACTTCATCCTTCACAAGACACTACTCTTGCAGTAATAAATCCGCCCGTATGGAAATGTCAATCTATTCTGAGGTGGAATCGTCACAATCTAGCCACCTCTTAAAGACCCTGTGTCTCAACACTTGCACTGGGGGAAAAACATCCATCACTTGCGTTTAGGAGACACACTCAAACTACAGGTCTGGGAACACCCTGATAGTACTGATGGTGGGGTGTCAAATAGGCACATTTACCTACAGAGGACCAGTGAATGATGAACCCTGCTGGTATAGGCCCAGGATATGCTTTTGCATCTGATTTTTGTGAGGTGAGTTTTATACATAATATGTGCTCTACATTCAAGTGGAAGATTCATTCCTCAGAGACAGTGACAAGAGAGTCCAAGTAACAGCCAATATCAGCTGCTGCTATCAACGCTGGATAAATAATGAGACACATTTGGATAGAAGGGTCATTCAGCCGATGACAAAGGATGCTGACCAATCCTCAGCTATTTCCTCTATGGTTGAGTAAGTAATGAGTGCTTAGCAATCTGTTTCTTAGACAATTTTTAACTCCCTAATGAATTTTTATACTCACTCCATCCTTTACCATATTTTATTACTTTTGCTTCATAGCTATTTTTATGTTATCAAAACCATCATTGAAAGTATATGCCACCTTTTTGTTACCTACTGAGAAGCAGACATCAGGCAAAAGGAACACAACTGGCCGTCAGCTACAGACAAAAGTAGTACAGCTTGTGAGTATGATAATAAATGCACAACCAGCTCTCACCTTCTCTAGAGCATCTCTCCTGAGGCCTTAGAGTCCTGGATAAAAGTAGCATCAACAAATCAGCAGGGGAACACTGAGGGGTTTTCTCAGCTTTGCTTTTCCTGGACATTGCCTATTCATTATTAAAACTTAAATCTTATCCTTGGGGAGGCAATCATGACAGCTCTCCACCTGTATTAGTTATACATACCATTGCCATAACAAAATGCTTGGTAAAAAGCAACTTAGGGGAAGAATGGTTCCTCTTGGCTTATGGTTTGAGGGCATAGCCTATCACAGCAGAGAAGGCACGGTGGCAGAAGCCTGGGTCAACTGGTCACACAGCATCTGCAGTCAGGAAAGAGGAGAAATGAGCGCTGGTGTCTTCTTCGTCATTTTCATTCAGTTTGGACTTCCAGTCCTCGGGATGGTGCTGTCCACATTCAAACTCTCCCCTCTTCATTGAATCTCTCTGGAAATTCCCTCACAGACTCACCCAGAGGTCTGTTCTCTATGTGACTCTAAATCCAAACAAGTTGATGAGGAAGGTTAAACATCGCAAATCCAACCACAGCTGACCGCCCCAGGTCCCACTTGCTTCTTTAGGAGCCCTGCTCATGGCTCACCTCTCTAAGCATTGCTGTGTTCACAAGGCATGGTACCTCTAGACTCTGATTTTCCAGTTTTCCCTTTGTTGTTGTTGCTACATTTATTTGTTCGTGTGTGTGTGTGTGTGTGTGTGTGTGTGTGTGTTGATGTCTGAGTGCCATGGCATACACGTGAAAGTCAGAGCACAATTTGTGGGGGTCAGTTCTCTTTTTCTCTTCTGTGGATCCCTGGACCCAAGCTCCATGGTGCTTGACAGTGAGTATCTCTACTCAATGAGCCATCTTGTCAACCCAAGACTCTGATTTTTAGAACTATGACTCCAGTTCAAGGCCAGGACTGCCATAATGAAGTGGGACTCAACTTTCTTACTTGCCAGTATTTTGTGTTGTTCCTAAAGCTATAGAACCACATGCAGTCGCACATAACCCAGGATAACCAGGGGTGTTCCTGGCTTAGAGGTCCAGATTAGAAAGGTTCTATCCCAATTCCATGTCTTGGTTAAAATAAAAATCCTCCTCTGGCTTCTGCCATTTTTGAAGTGCTGGAGCCAGGATAATGCCACAGTTTCATTTCTGTTGCTGTGATAAAAAAACATTCTGAGAAAAAGAAACTTAGGGTGTAGGCAGAAGTTTCTGTCCCCTAAGCTGCTCCCAAGTAACCACACGGAGACATGGTCTTAATTACAAATGCGGCCAACAGCTCAGGCCTGTTACTAACTCTTACATTTAAATTAACCCATGCTTCTTATCTATGGTTTGGCACCTTTTCTCAGTACAGCACGCTCATTTTGCTTCTCTCTGTCTGCTCCCGACTCCAGGCTCCTCCCTCCTTCTTCCCAGCATCCTCCTAGCCTGGCTTTCCCACCCAATCTCTCCTGCTCAGCTATAGGCTAGTCAGTTCTTTACTAACCAATGAGAGTGATGCTTATTTATGGTGTACAGAAGGAATATTCCACAGCATTAGGGGATAAAAGGTTTATTTTAATTCAGCATTCCAGGTGACAGTTCATGGCAGTGAGGTCAAGGTAACAGGGACTTAAAACAGCTGGTCATGCCACATCCCCACTCAAAAGTGAGAGATTAATGTATATAGGTTGTTTGCCTCTTTGTGCTCCGCTGTATCACTCCACTCTGGAACGTTTCAGGATCCTCTGCCTAAGAAATGGTGCTGACCACAGTGGGCGGGGTCTTCCTATGTCAATCAAGACAATTCCCCACAGGCATGCCCACAGATGAACTGAATGTAGACAACCCCTCCAATGATTCTCTCCCCATGTGATTCTAGGTTGTATCAAATTGACAATTAAAGCTGGCCATCGTAGGTGGTATCCTTGTGGTTACATCTCAGTTTTCATGCACATGTGTGACGCTTTTTCCTATGTCACATCTACATAACCTGAACCCACCCGGGATCCTGGAATGATTTCCAAAACGGGTCAGAGAAATCCTATTATTCAAAAACGCCCCTGAGAGTGGGTGACATTTCTAAGGATTGAGACATCACACAGAAACAGGGTCTCATAACACACTACAAAGAAAACAAAGTACAGAACAACCCCTTCTGCCTTTATGAACTGTGCAGTCTCTGCTTTTAGGTACCACCACCTTTGACTTAGATAGTGCCCAAACATCTCCCAACTCACACACTTCTCTTAAAGGAAATAAAAGGCCAAATCCATTCCTCCTGCTCTTGCTATACCCGAGGCATTTAAGCATTCCCCTTTGCTAGTACAGGCACTTCCACACAGGACCCTCCACCTCTCCCTGGCACAGCAGTAAGAATCAAGCTATGGACACTTAACACAGTAACTCTTAATGCCAGCCATCAAACACCATCAGTTCATAAGTGTCCCTTTAGTCCCGTAATAGCTTATAAAACATTTTCACATCAATTATCTCGTTTAAACCTAATAGCCCAGTGAGGTAATTAGGGCCTCGCCACCAACCACAGCTTAGCAACAAGGGAACTGAAACTCCAAACAGAAGATAGCAGAAAAATGAGTCAAGCCTGCATTAGTGACTGCCATAGAACCAGCAGGGTCTTGGGTATGACCTTCTTCGGAATTAGAGTCTTTGCAGATATAATTGGTTAAGGAATTCTAGGTGAAATCCTCTTGGGCTCTGACCTCGAATCTAGTGTCAGGAGTCTTTAAAAGAGAAGGAGGGAGAGCTAAGCAGCAACAGCTACAAAGATTTTCCCAAAAGCCAAGAAAGGAGTGTGGCCCTGCTGTCACACCGCCCCCCAGCAGCCTTGTAGCATGACCTTTTGGTGTTTAAAATGACTCACCTGGTGGTGATTTGCTACAGCAACTCTGAGCTGCTAGCACAGACTCCACACACAGAGATTTCCCTTGTTTGTTGCATCTGTCCTGTTGGAATGTTAGCCACAGCTCAGGATGTCCCATAAACACCCTCTTCAGAGAAAGAGTGAGGGCCATCCGTAGTGCCTCCAGTTTCTATAGAAATCATACCTACTGCTCCAGCTGTCTAGAACCAACAGCTGAGAAGGCTTCACCCTGACCATGTATGTGCCTGACCATGCACCAGGGTCATTGCAGCCTCTGGAGGATTCGCTAGCGTTTCAATACTGCTCTGGAACCCAAATACCCAATGGCTAAGAAGGGGCATTCCTTCAGAATTCTCTTCATAGAACTGTATGTATCTTGGGTGACTAGAAAGTTTGGAACTCCATGTTTTGGAAAAAAGCCCTGAGAGGGTGTTCTGGTGTTGAATGGACTGGTGTGTGTAGCCTGAAGACACGCAGGTACCCTAGAGTAAGTGAGTGAGGGTAACTTTAAGTCACTCCTCAATGAACCTATCAGCTTAAAAGGGGTTGAAGTGTATAGCTCCTGTTGCATGTTTGAACAAACCTTGCAATGCTAATAGGAAGCCCATGTTGTCTGAACCAGTGGCTGACCCTGTAGCACCAATTCTCTTTGGTCTTAACAATAAGAACCCAGAGTCAGACGTAGGGGTTAAAGCTGGAAGATCAGAGAAGCAGAGCAGCCAGCCACTAGAGAGTTCTTACCTCTGCCAGTGCTCAGACCAAAGGGGCAACCCTGTCCTCAGACTGACTACCTAGACTGCATCCATCTCCACGAAAACTCAGACTGCACTGCTCCTCAGACTGCATCTCTCTCTGGTCTCCTCCTGACTTACATTCCTCTCTGCTCAACCATGTCACTCCTATCTCCACCTCCCCAGTGCTGGGATTAAAGGCGTGTCTCTCCAAGGGCTGGGATCATCTTTGTGTGAGCTCTGTTTCTCTTTTAGGCAGGACTAATTTTGTGTAGCCCGGGGTGACCTTGAACTCACAGAGATCAGTCTGCCTGTCTCCTGAGTGCTAGGATTAAAGGTGTGTGCCACCACTGCCTGGCCTCTATGGTTAACTAGTGTGAAGACCAGGCAGTGTTGGTCCCTGCATGACCCACTTGGACACCTTACCTGCACTTTCCACAGTCTGTACATAACTGCCTATAATTAAGGCTCAAATTAATGCGGCTTAGAAGACCCAAAGAGTCCTGGCCCAAGAGTTTTCTTTCTGAGATTATTTATCCAAATCACCACTCTGGATGGCCTGGGTCTCTAAGCTAAGTTTCTGATGCCAAGCAGAAAATATAGCCCCTCAGTCTAGACTGACTGATTTGGTACCATGCAGTGAGTTTTCCCCTTAGCCACTCTTGCCCACCTCCAGATATAGAGACCATACTGTGGTATCTAAATACACCGTGTAATAACACTATGATAACGGGGTTCCCATGAACCCCCTCACATTCAATGATACATTAGAATGATTCTCAAAACCCAGGGAGCATGGTACTTACAACAGCAGTGTGTGTGTGTGTGTGTGTGTGAGAGAGAGAGAGAGAGAGAGAGAGAGAGAGAGAGAGAGAGAGAGAGAGACCTGACCCGACCCACGGGGGAGAGGTACAAACTAAGCTCTAGCAGGCCCCAAACACAAAGCCCCCCCACCTCACTCCCACCCCCCATCCCACCCACTCCAGTGTTGTTGCCTCCTCTGTGCTATGGAAAATAGCAAAATCCAAAGAACCTTGGCAACTAGAAAAATTTACCCAAACTTTAGTATGCAGAGTTTTTATTGCAGTTTCATTGCATGGGCATGACTGACTGGATCACTGGCCGAATAGCCGAACTCTGTCTGTCCCTTCTGCTTGCCCTGGAGGTTTAGCTGACATCTCATGGCTCTAAAGCCCAGCCATCTACCCATCTTTGGGCCAGCCCCCACGCTGAGATGCCTCATTAGCATAAACCATCTATGAACTTGTCACATCGTTTGAATGAGCTGCCAAGTGTGCAGTGAAGGATATACAGCAGATAACAAATATGTTGCCACACCTGAGGAAGTCCCAAGGGTTTAGAGGAGCTCTCACAAGAATAGAGGACCAAGACAGTCATAGTCCTTGTTATACACTCTAATGTACAAGAGGATTCATTTCGAGAGATAATGTTAATTCTCCCTGCCTGGGGGATTTTATAAGGATTAAATAATGCAATAGGTCTTTCTGGCATCAGTGCTCATTCTGCGTAGGAGCTGTCATATTACTGAGCTCTGCCACTGGCCTTCTAGAATACACAGCTCTCTTCAGTTCTTTAGAGCAGTGGAAATGTTTTATGCATCTTATATACTTCATAGAAACTGTGTCCTGCACAAAACATCTAATACATATTTATTAGTTCTTTCAAAAGTGTATC